ATATATATACATTTTTAAAATTTATGAGCATAAAATTTTAATTAATTTTTTTGTAAGATTACCAGGACTCAAGCATGTCTAAAAAAATAAATTTATACTTCCCCTTTTTTTCTCATTTAATATTAAAAATTATGAGGCTTCTATTTTCTTGAAAGTATTTTAAAAATGTTTATGAGTTTGCAAACTATAACAATTTTTCCCTTAAAAAAAATTTTAGGCAAACAACTACCTCAAGTTAATAAACATATATTTGGGTACTTGTAAGTTTTTGGAGCTATGAGTGCAATGTGATTGTGAGTATTTTTTACTGACTATATTGTCTTTCGTTTTCCTCTCCTTAGACCGACTTTATTCATATTTGCCTTCAAGCTCATGAAAGTTTTGTACTTATCAATGAGACAATTGCGGTACATTGATTATTTTTCTTCCTTAAAATCTTATACACTTCTGTACTATTCTGTGCAGCAAGTTTCAGATTTTGACTTGTTCACTCTTGATGATATTGATGCTGCTTTCCAGAATGTTATCAGATTGACATACTCCCAGAATTATCATCTTTCTGGTTTGTTTATTACTATTTTTTTTTTTGAGCCCAAAAACCTACTCCTACTGACTGGGATCTGCTAATGATGATGATTTTGATGACTAATCTAATAAATGTGTATGTTGTCATTAATATGCATTAGATAAAGGAGAAGGGATAGTGATAGCTCCACATGTGGCTGGCCATCTTCTTGGGGGTACTGTTTGGAAGATAACAAAAGATGGAGAGGATGTTGTATATGCTGTTGACTTTAATCATCGCAAAGAACGGTTATATGCCCCCTACACTAATATTATTTAATTTTTGGTTGTTTGAGAATGATGAGGCTAGGTATGTGGAATGGTTTTGCAGGCACTTAAATGGAACTGTTCTAGAATCTTTTGTACGCCCAGCTGTTCTCATTACGGATGCATACAATGCATTGAATAATCAACTATACAAGCGTCAAAGGGATCAGGAATTCCTTGGTATTTATCTACAACATTGATTTTGCAATTATTGTTTCCATGTTCCATAATTTTTTCGAATTGGAATTTTGCTTGTTAATCCTGGCTTCAATTTTTCCCTTTCAGCTACAGTAGGCCTGTTTAGTGGTGTTCTTTGGTTACACATGCTGCGCCAATTCTTTCATTGATTTTTTTCTTTCAACTTGAAGCATGGCAGTATTACTGCCTAGAGCCTTTCATTGAAACGCCTTTCTAAAGTTCTCTTTTTTACTTGCAAATTTCTGGGATTTTGGCTGTCAATTTATACTGAAGAAGCAATTTGGCTTTAACCCCTTCTGTTAACCTGGCAACTTGTAATCTTTATGCTTTGGCTTGCATGAATCCAGAGCTAATAGAAGAAGATTTAACTCCTTTCCTTAGTGTAATGGTCTTTGGAAGTTTTATCTACAAGTGATTTTTTCATGAATTTTTTCACTGTTCATCATTATCCCTTTTTGCTATGGCAGCCATATTGCCCAGGAATTTTTGGGGTGCATGATTGATATAGTTGCATAATTGATCGCTCCGTTTTTTAATCTTTATTCATTTAGTTTCTTTTATATATCTTCTCCCAGAGGCAATACTAAAGGTTCTTCGAGCAAATGGAAATATATTGCTTCCTGTTGATACGGCTGGAAGAGTTTTAGAGCTTCTTTTGATACTTGAACAGGTCTTACATTTTCCTAGCGAATTGTATCATGCATCTCATTGCCTCAAAGTTAAGGAGTATATGAGTTAACCATTATATTGCATTGCAGTACTGGAGTCAGCAACATCTATCTTTCCCCATTTTTTTTCTAACAAATGTTGCTACAAGTTCCATTGATTATGTCAAGAGTTTCCTAGAGTGGATGAGTGATTCTATAGCAAAATCCTTTGAGCATACACGAGACAATGCTTTTCTACTGAAGTAAGTTCATCATCCATTGTTGTTGTCCCACTTTTTTTGTCTTTGATTCTTCTTGTGCTTGTGAACAAACAAAAGATGGCTAATTACTGGTAAACTCATTTGTTGTGCTCACAAAATCTCATATTAGCCGTTCAAATGATTTTGTATGTGAGCTTAACCGATGACATCTTTTTCATTATTCTGATTGCAGGCATATAAACATTATAATTAACAAAAGCGAGCTTGAAAACATACCAGATATTCCAAAGGTGAGTATTTATTTATTTTTCTTTATCTGTCATGAATTCCTTAGAAGAAAGCTGATGTAAGGTACATAGGTTGTTCTGGCATCCATGCCTAGTTTGGAGGTTGGGTTCTCCCATGATATATTTGTTGATTGGGCCACAGAGGCCAGACATACTATCCTTTTTACGGAAAGAGGCCAGGTAAAAGATTTCTTGATAACTTATTAATCTTATTGTTTTTGTGTTTAAAGTTCAAGTCTTCTTTTAGTGACTAAGCATTAAATACCAGTTCTCAAATTTGGTGTGAATCTATATTTCTTTGATATGCTATGAAAGGTTGCTAATTCATCATGATTTCCTACCTGACATTTAGCTTCACTTGCTCTACTGATATTTCTTTGATATGCTACCCAACAAACTCCTCCCAACAAACCTCCTTCCACATTTATGATTTCATAGTTTTTTCATAGTTTGGAACTCTAGCTCGAATGCTTCAAGTTGATCCACCTCCAAAAGCAGTGAAAGTCACCATGAGTAAGAGGATTCCTTTAATTGGAGATGAATTGAAAGCATATGAAGAAGAGCAAGAAAGAATTAAAAAGGAAGCTGCTCTGAAATCTAATGTCAACAAGGAATTAAGGGCATCCCAGGGATCTGATGCTAAAGCTGGGGATACAATGGTTATTGATGCTTCTTCCTCTCACATTTCTTCAGATGGTACGCTGATTGATTCTTGAGTATTATTGGTTTTTACCCATGTCTGTTTCATTCTTTTGGAAACGTGATATGCTGGTAACTATAGTTCTACTCTCTGAAGTTTAATTTCTTATCTTTTTACACGTGAAATTCTAAATATAGTTCTACTCTCTGAAGTTTAATTTCTTTTCTTTTTCCATGTGAAATTCTAATCTTCTTAGAAATCACTGTTGTCCTAGGATACATGTCAAAAATAAATTTCTTATCAATGAAATTGCTGAATTTCTTATGATAATATAATGCCTTCTTGGAGTGATTTATGTGGAGACACTGAACATAAAAAGTGTTTTAATTATGCTAAAGATCTCGACTTACTGCTCAACGTACATGCATGTAGTAAAAAAATGGTTATTTCAAAAAACATTCAATCATTTATGCCTGATTGTATAAACTCTTATACTTGGTTTCCATTAGCCAAAAAAGTGGCTGAAGTTCTTTTGTAATATCATATTCATCTATACTGTATGTCTACTGGCAAGTACTGCTTGTATGCTTAACAAATGCATATGGTGCACCAATTCTGATTAACTGTTTTTTGAGAAAAATTAAGCATAAGATTCTATTGAATGGAGAGATAGAGACTTCTGCAAATCCCCTTGCTCATCAGATAAATGGTAGATGCTGATAGATAGATGGAGGGAGGAAGAAGGCCGTGTCCGTAGATGTTGATAGGTAGGTAGATGAATGGTTGTATGGATGGATTGATGGATGGAGTTTCCTACAAATCCCCTCACTCTCACAGATAGCTATATATAGAAGGAAGGTAGGGGGCACCACCCATAGAGATAGATAAATAGGGTGAGGGAGCAACGAGTCACTTGTAAATTCCATCACCTGAAAAAGTAAATAGAAAATGAAACTGATAGACGATAGATGGAGGGAAGCCTCACCGTTAGAGTTGGATAGCAGGACAATCTAATGGAAGGAAGGACAGAGATGCTACCCATAGAGAGAGATAGAGGCTGGGAGTGAGTGAGTCGTCTGAAACTACTCTCATAGAGATAGTGGGTGGGAAGCCTCACTCTTAGATAGATGATGGATTGAGGGTGATCATTTTAGTAATTTTATCTTATACCCTTTACCTTGACAAACACACCCAAAAAAAACACACGCAAATATATATATTGCTTTTGATTATCTCACAAATCTAAGGTTAGAGTGAGCTATTTATCTTATGTTGATGATGCTATCCTCTTCAATAATGCAAACAAGAACTCCATTAGAAAATTGATGGATACATTGTCTCTTTTCCAAAATACTTCTGGCCTCATTTTCAACAAAACCAAATGTCATCTCTGCTTTGGGAAAGCACTAAAGCAAAACATTATCAGTTGGTCCTTCAATTTCACAGACTTTATTTCATCTTCCCTTCCTATCACTTACTTGGGAGTTAATACTCAAAGAGGTAGAAGGAGACAAATTCAAATGGATGCTGTTGTTGAAAAAATAAAAACTAGAATTCGGGACTAGAGGAATATTTTTTTTTCTAATGGGGGAAGACTTACTCTCATTTATAGTGTTTTACATAACATTCCTCTTTATGCTTTACAGGTGCCGAATTTGAAGAAAAATACACAAATTACTTTGGAAAGGATTTTTAATAAGTTCTTATGGGCGGGTACTACCTCCAGGAAAATCTGGGCTAGTTGGCATATGGTTTGTAAACCTAAAGCTTCTGGTGGACTCAATTTCAAAAGTCTTAATCACTTTGCTGTATAAATAAATTCAAACTCTAGTTTAAATTTCATGAAGGAAGTTCTCTTTAGGCTCAATTTTTATGACATAAACATTGACTAACTAACCTTCCTTCTACTGTTCAATGGAAAACTGGTGATTCTAAAATCTGGAAGACGATTTTAAGGGAATAAGTGAGGTTAATAATTTCATTTTTTGGGAAACTGGCGATGACAATATTTTCTTTTGGCATGATAATTGGGGGGTTGATTTCTTGGGTAATTCTCCTCTTACCTCTTTTCATCCTCATATATCAGTTTCTGATGTTGTTGAAGGGCAATGGAATTTGCCACTTTTACGTGAATTGGTAGGTAACACATCCCCACAAATCTCTATGATTCCTATATGCAATAATGCTAAAGACAAGCCTCGTTGGAAATTAAGCCAAAAAGTCTCCATCTCTAAAATAATTTACGATAAGTTGCATCATTTTGATAAATGGAAATGGGGTCCTGAAATCTGGCATAAAAATCTCTCCCATCTATTTCTGTTTTCTTATGGAGGAATTTTTTACAACTGTTGTCTTTTGATGACATCTTAAAAGTCAAAGGCCTAAGGTTGGCCTTACAATGTTGTTTGTGTAAATGCTCCCAAGAAAGTGCTTCACATTTATATTTCTTTTGTCCCTTTGCTAGGGAGATATGACATAGTTTGGGAAGGATTTTTGGTTTGAAAAATTTTACTTGGCATAATATGGAAAATTGCTTACTTGCTTGACAATCTTGTGGTTCATCGGACACAACAATGCATCTCATTTCTTATTTAACTTTGTGCTTTATTTGGTGTGCTAGAAACAATGTGAAACATGAGCTCTCTTCCTCTTCCCCTTTTTGCACTATTTCTTACCTTCTTGCCTAACATGCAAAGGCTTCTAAATATATATGATTACTGCCAAGATCTTTGCCTAAGGAGGGCAGGAGGCCATCTTTAATATATTGACAGCTCCCTCCCCCTGGCTGGATCAAAATTAATGTTGATGGAAGTTGGAAAAATTACACGGCCGGTGTTGGGGCTATTTTCAGAAATCATTTCGGCAAGTGTCTCTTCTATTTTTCTTCTACCGTCTGAGCTTTAACTCCTACTGAAGCGAAGGGTTGGGCAATATTTCTGGCTCTAAATGTTGTTGTTACTTTTTGTTAGCATACAATTTTTATTGAGTCGGATTCTTCTGTTTTTCTGGATTTCATTACTAGAAAACAAGAGCCTCATTGAAATTTAATTATTTGTTTTAATAAGATTTGACAATTTATAGCTTCTCATGACTTTAAGGTCATATGAAATTTTATATACAGGGAGGGAAATACACCTGGATTGGTTTGCTAAACGTGATTTTTTAGGTGTCTCTACTGGTTTGGTGCCTCCCAATGAGCTTAATATACTTGTAAGGGGAAACTCTTTGAATCTTCTTTATGTCAGATGTTTAACACCATGATATGGCTTACGGTCTCCTTTCATCCCTAAAGGACTTTGGTTTCTGGTTTTGGGGGAGGATCTTTTGCTCTATTAATCCTCATATCTTTGCAGTTTGGCTACTCCTGCTGAGGAATAGCCTCTTCAGATGATTATTTTAAATTTTGTTATACCGCATTTCTGTTCTTTTACTTACTTTTCTTCTTATTTTACTACAGTTTCTTTCTTTAATCTGTTTTTTGGGTATACATGTAACTATCTTTTGGAGCTTTTGAGCGCGTTGTTTAACGGGGGAAGGATCCTACTTTTTAGATTTTTCCTAGCACGCTGTGTTGTCCTCCCTTTTCTTTTTCTATAAAATCCAGTATGGGCTTATATATATATAGATACATACATACATATATATATGTGTGTATGTATATATAAACATATATATATGTATGTATGCATGTAGGTACATACATACATATATATATGTATGTATGCATGTAGGTACATACATACATATATATATGTATGTATGTACATACATACATACATATATATATG